AGACTGTCGTCATAAACATACAACTTCTCTGGTTTTCCAGGGATTTAATCATTTCCTTTCCAATCCAGGTAACCTTCAACTCAGTATAGTTAAGAGAAGTTCAAAACCAAAAAAAAAAAAAAAAACCACAAACAAACAAAACACAAAAAAGGTTTTAAAAAAGTTTTAACTACAAATGAATTTAAGCAGTAATTCAGGGACTGCCCCCTCCTCTTGTACTACACAAATCAGCACGCAAAGTCCTCAGCTAGGTGTTTCCGTCATTAAGTGCCATTAAACACTCAACAACAACGACTGTGTCCTGAGAACTTCCCCAGTGGCTGGAAGGATTCCCATCTGCAAACCAGAAATAGCTCTTGCCCTATAAATGCAAATGAGGGGCTTGCAAAGAAAGCACAGGGTCAGGACTCGGGAGATTCTGCTTCTATTCTGAGCTCTGTCACAGCCTCTATGCACAGGCTTAGGCTACAATTCCATTTCCCGAGATCACAGCTCCCCACCTGCAAAATGGTGACACTTCTGTCTTCTGCAGAGCAGCTACAGGGGGACTTGAGCTCACATTTGCTGCAGACCAACACGGTGGTTATGGTAGCCAGGCAAACAACACACACAGAGCTTTCYTCCTTGAAAAATCCAGTTCTCTTACCACCCATTTTAGTTACTGCTACAGTATCTTACACTGYTATTTGACTGATACAAGAACACTGAAGAACTCAATCTAATGTTTTCTCTACAAAACAAAGTTSAAGACGGATCATCGCTGCAAACTAAAGCACCTCCTGTCTCCCCAATTCTGCTCCCAGCTAAGGCCCTCAGGGCAGCTCACCAGCAAGGGTCAAAGCTCTCTATATCACCTGAATAAAGCACAAAGACAGACGGGTAGCTCAAAGAAGAKTTTTATTCAAAACAGTCATTTCTTTTTGTCCCTTCCATCCCTCCTCCTGTCACATTATCTCACAGGTGGGAAGGAGACATTTGCAATTAAACACGTTTTTCAGTAATGACTGCTTCTGTCATAAGAAAGCAGAGACCACCCTGCCCTTCTTTTCCACTGTGTARTAAGACCTGCTGACAGGAGAAAAAAAGAAAAGCCCTTGATACAGTACTGGTGCTCCTCCATAGCAGGAAAATATCCTAGTCCCCAAACTCAAAGAGTTGATAACTTCAAGGAACCATTTGATTGATGCACAGACTGTTTTTTTCTGGGTGCATCAATCATCCTTGTACTATAATAACATAGATATTATTACAAGAAAYGAGGACAATAATTCCAGCTCATTCAGTACAAGTGCACTTTTTTTTTTTTTAAAGACAACTGACAAAACGTTGTGATCGGTACTGCTCAAATTACTGGGTCTGCCAATCAGAAGAGAAAGCACCTATCACATAATGCTCTTGCTAATACCCCAGGGCACAGCTTTATATAATATTCTCATTGCTCTTAGCTGTCACTTSCAGGAGAATCCCTGACAGCCTCTTGTAAGAAGTCTTTGCCAGCAAGGTGACCCAGCTCCACTTCCTTTGCATACAGCASCCCGTGTCAGGTGGGTGGCTATGAGACCACTCGCAAAATGTTCTCAGCCAGAGAGACTGCAGGAATCCAAATGCTGAGTGATGCGGGGGTAGCAGCATTTTCGCCATTCCCAGTGGGGCTGTGAACTGATGTCACTGCTGCTTGGACAGTGTTTGACATCAGTTGGGAAGGCCCAAGCACGGTGAAACTGAAGAACTATMAGCAGCCTTTAAGCTGGTCATCCATCCCAGTTTTCCCAGTGAGAAGCTCATTTCACACAAGATCARTCCTCTGTTAAGACCCCTGTTGCCTTGGTGACACTCTACAACATGCTGGCCTTCTCCAGGGAAGGAGTTTTAGATGTTTTAAAGCCTATTCACCGATTCCTCTATGTGGAAACATGCCTGATAACTGGCATAACAGGTGAAAACAAAGGGTTTATTCCACTGGTTTTGAAATACCTGGATCATTCTTGCCTCCTCTCCACTGCAAAATGCTGACTGTAGCTGAAAGGCAACAAAAGAATCCCTCTGTGTATTTGTTCTTTTGGACATGTGACATTCTCACTGACTCACCTCCTCCAAACGGCGCCCATATAACCCTACGGATGGATTTCACCCAATCCTCCATGTCATTCTGTGTGCTTGCCATAAGCAGGTACGTCTCATGATTAGCTGTCATCCGCTCTCGGTCTCCTCCTGCAAGAGAAGATAATTGTACTTAGAAATCCTTTTGCTTTGCTGTCCAACCAAGCTCCTGCAAACAGCAATAGTGGCTCTGAGGAGAACAGACATAGATAGCGCTGGCGCCCTCCACGCCAGCCACGGCACGAGAAGAAGRGCCTGGCCGTGCATTCCCCAGCAGACAGCGAGGTGCTGCCAGGCTTCCAAAAGGCAATGAGAGGATAAGTGTCACTGGAAAACAAAAACAGCTCCATGCTGTTGCTAAAACCGCAGGGTCTGCTCTAATCTGTAACTTGATATACACAAAGTTTTGCTGCAATTATTGTAACGCAGTAGATAAAATAAACACCGAGAAAGAGAAGGGAGCTATAAACAAGACATGAATAGAAAATTTCTATTTTCAGGAACAACACAAGACATTCACAGCAATGACATTTGACACACAGGTGGCACTGGGAATCCCTAGGGATAAAACAGTTAATGCTAGCAGCGGTGCAGCCCAGCCAACTGGCTTGGACAGGTCCGGGGTGGGCTAAAACACAAGGCAGCTGCTCCCCGCATCAAGGTTTCACTGCTGTGGTACTGCTTGAGCTCTAAGCTTGCCGGTCCTCTGTTAATGCAGGAGCAAAAGAACAGAACTCAAAACCAACCTGAAAGCAAACAGAAGAACAAAGTCCTAAAAAGATCCTGACGTTCTGAAGACCTTGCACTGAGCCAACGGCACACACGTACATGTCCAAACTTGATGCACCTAGAAATCAGGGGTTCTGTCCTCATCTTTATCCCTCCTCTCCCATCTTCCTTTTAATGCAGGTCCTATCTACACTAAAGACTGCTGTTCATTAGAGCAGAACACTGCTCCTGGGAGGYGGTCTTCTGAAGAGTGCCGTGATCCGTGCTGGGCACTGTAGCATTTAGGTTTCTGAGGAGGAACATCCTAGGGGTCTAGCCAATCCATCTGTGACTGCCCAGCACAAACCGACCTATTTTATAATGTCATCTAGAGCTCTCTTCCAGAAAAGGCATAAACAATTCGGATACAAATGGAAAGCCYCACTATACTGTCACACTAGGTAAATGTATTTAGAGAAGCGTATTCCTCCTAGAAAGGAACAGTGGTTTGCATTTAATTGAGCACTTAAATAGACTTTGTCCATATTGAGCTCAAGAAATGTATTTAAGAATACAACAGAAACATTTTCAACACTTAGGACGGGGACATTGCCTGCAGCTGACAAAGTAAACGGACATGGAATATTTTGCTGATAATCAAATTCAGTCACTTAAGTAGTACTTGGCCCAAGAATATCAAGCTAAACCAGAAGTGGTTTTGTTTGCTTGTGTTTTGAATGGACTGAAAACTTGTAAGGTCTAAAAAGACCATAAGGATGTATTCATMTTAAATACCTGACAGATCCAGGAATTAAGCAAGAATTGATTTGATTTTCTTACTACTTATGATAATGAAAAAGGTGAAAATCATAACCAAGAAAAGATGCTTCTCTTTGTTGTTTGTTACGTTCCTCCATGTTCTTCTCAATCTGCACATTTAAAGCTGATGGACTAACTGGTGGTCATCTTATAAAAAAACGGAGGGTGCTCTTCAGATAAACTGAATTCATCCCAGAAGTCTAGATAGTTCATTGGCAGTGTGGATTCCAGCCTAGCACTCTAATCAGTTAACTACATTAAACAATGTTTTAGCTTATATATAAATAACCCGAGCTTAGTGTAGCAATAAACCTAAGTATATTACATTAGATTTAGCTAGTATATAAATAATCTGATGAGCTTAGTGTAGCAAAGAAAGTATATTATGTTAGTTTTTTTGGTGTAAAAGCTTTTATAACTACGAGCTTCATCATTCTATACTGATTCTGGATCTGCTCTATAGTTCGAGTCCTTTCCTTCACATATCAGATCTTGCAGAACTCTGTTTTCTTTTGACTTAGCTATTACTCAAGAATTGCCAGAGGTTGACATGAAGACTTGCTAACAAATATGTGGGGWTACAGTAGTGTTTGATCTGCATATTACTGCAAATGTTACTTTTTAATGGCATGACATTTCAAATAGAAGCTGAACAAGGTGTTGTAGAGTATCAAGAAAAAAATGCCCATGATACAGTAAATATCCATCTCAAATAAGAAATATGGGAGAAATAGAAATTACAAGGCCCTTTCTAAATATTCAGTAGGTCAACGGGACACCTCTGAAAAAAGTGGCTTAGCGACTGCATTCCCCCYTTTTTTTAAATAGCATTACTGTTATTATTTTAGTGTTGCTTGAGCAGCTCACCAGCTTCAAATATTAAATATTTAGTCATTCTGCAGATACTGGTATTAAGTATCTCTGCTGGAAAACCAAGCTAGGCGTGAAGTTCACTAAATGGGCAAATGCATCCTTCATCCTTTCCTAAGACMATACAAGTAATAATATATTTTAGCTGCATGGTTGTACAGCCCCAGATCATGCATCTCACAGTGGTGGTCCCTTTTGCATTTGCTGTCAAAGTGCAAGAGACACACTTTGAGTCAGGGGCTCTTTGTGACTGCTTTGTTCCCTTGTTAACTTAGAGATGTCACAGAAACTGGAAGAAACCAAACTAGGGATCAAAGATATGGACTCCTGCATATCCAAGATGAAAAGCTGCTCTTTATACCATTATGTGCATATCCTGTTYCTTTCAACCACAGGTCCCAGCCAAAATTGGTCCGTACTGTTTCACAAGACTGAAATGTAATGACATATATTTACTTCCTACAGCCCTAATCAGTCCCTAAACTGTTTTGTTTTCTTGGCAGCCTCACCAACGAATTCGTATTCATTAAGAACTCTACCCARAATTTCCATTTGGATTGGACACCATGATACGGCTCAACTCCAATACGAATCTTCCACTTGGAACAGGTCAGATGTCTCCCCCTGCCTCACCTTTCCCATTTGCAATAACTTGGCTTCCCAGCTGCTCCTATGCATTCCCTCTAGCAGCCCAGTAACTGGTAAACACAGACTGCTGCACAGCCTCCTGACCAGGACAGCCTGTGACCACTCAACCCCAYGCGGGGCGCAGCTTTGCCCACTGAGCCAGCACCACTTCGACACAAGCGAGGCCAAGTATTTTAAGATCTCTTGCCAGCAGCCGGAAAAAAACAATTAAAATCTAGCGAGGCCAATTCTCSCAGGGACCCACTGCACAGAGGGAAAGCAAGGAAACAGCCTGTGTTTGCTCATGCAACACCACACCATGCGCTCTGAAAAGCATGAAGAGGTGGTGACTGAATTTAACGGACGGGTGTAGCCTGAAATATCAAACTCAACTCTCCTGCTTTTGTGAAATATCAGACTCAACAACTCTCCTGCTTTTTATCATCTGTTAATTAAATAAGGATGTGCAAATCTTTTGCATTCGGTTGAAAAAAGATTTGTAGTCAATATGTTTTAGTGCTGTCTTCTCCTCTCTCTAATCCTCTACCTGCACTGGATCCAGGACACCCTTTTCTCACGTAAATGCAGCTCAAGCTGAACTCTGAATGGAGTACTCCTTGTCCTTTTAGAAGCATCTTGGATTTATTGCCAACTCTACTTCCAGTATTCTTGAGAAAGGAATGCAAAAGGATTAAATTCATACCGTCTGCTTAAGAGAGAATTTTCTCCCAGAAGGAACATCAAAAAGTAGGGCTAATCTGATTTTTCTCAGCTGAAAATGTCATGGACAACCTCGAAAGAATATGTGCATTCCAACAGAAAATTTGGGGGCCAATTTCAAAATGAAGCAGTTGAATATTCAGCATTTCTCTYAGTTACAAGCTCTGAAACCCACTCAATTGAAAGCTTAACGATGGTGAAAGGCAGCTTGGCATAACAACAGAACCCATTGGGTTTTATTTAGAAACATCCCTGTATATGAATGTTTTTTACTTGATTCCTGATTTCTTGGTTTCAGAGGAAAACGCTCAAGAGTGAAGTTTTAGCTTTCTAATATTTCACGTCAATACACTGAATAGACCTCTATATGGTATTCATATGGCAATTCCTGCCCATCACTGCTTGAAAAAAAAAGCCACTTAAAAGCCATATAAACAAAAGGATTTTGGAGTTCAAATTCCACTCCTAATTAGTTTCTGCAAGTGTTGCCTCAGGGGTTCTTTGTTTTCTTCCACCCCACCCTCTGCTTTCGCTTTATTTTTTGTTTTTAAAGCTTGTCATCTTTTCAGGCAATTTTGGTCTCTGTGCTCTGGGATCCTGTTCCCATTCCTGCTGTTCATCACTTCTGTAAGCAAGCCCTGAACTCTGCCCGCTTCTCCTTTACATGGCTTGTATCAGCTGTAGCCCAAGAGCTGCAGCAGCCTTCAGGGCAGAAGAGCTGATCCTCTAGAGCTGCTACTCCATGCAAACACTACACCCATCAGAAAAGTACATGCTATCTTCCTTAGGATTTGTGTAAGTCTCCTTGCCCAAGGAACCAGCATCCTCTCCTCTGTTCAGATATACAATGCTCCTGTGCAAATGAGTACTGGCATTTCCTGCTCATAACTGCAATTGATATTCACAAAAAATAGTCTGATAATTATGGTAGAATTCATGACTATCTTCTAACATTGCGTTCTTAAATCTTCCCCCAGTTACAAATGAACTGCAAGGCAAGCAATATATATAATTTCTCTGGGAAAGCACACCTCGTTTTCTTTGTCAGTTCTCAYAGCATTCGTACTCCGACTTTTTGTTCTGAAACAGGAATCATCTTTGCAAGTTGCACAGAGTATGAACAAAAGCAACCTTATTCTCCATTTTTCCTTGTTCGTTAACAAACAAAACTCAATTAATGATTATCCAAAGCTAGATCCTAACTCAACACTAATCACTTTAAGCACAGCCTCACAAGTCTCACTTGACACACTGGTGAGACACTAAAAGACAGTTCAAATCTGYATGTGCTCATCTTCCATACACTGACTTTGGCAATTACAGGGTCCATTTATCCTGCAACTTTGAGTTAAGAAACTCATTTACAGCTGCTAAGTTTTAAGATTAGAATTCTTGGATTATACACAYGATTCTTAAATTAAATTTAAGAATCATGGAGGACCTGAATTTTACTTAAGGTAAGATGGTCAGATGTTACAGTCTCCGTGGCAATCTAGATGGCTAATGTTTTAAAACTTTAGTAGCCAACATGAGAACTTCACGTGCAATCTATTTTAAAGATGTGTTGGGCAAAGCTTGGAAAACCTTCTATATTGTTTCTGTTAAAATCACAGCAGGTATCAGAATCTAGTGCCAGGCGCCAGCTTTTTTTTTTTTTTTTCCCCCCTTCAACAAAAAGGAAGATTGGAAGAAGAGAATCGTGCCAGTTACCCTTTCCAGCTATTGTGCTGGTGACACGGAATGCGATATTTACCAATAGGCTTCAGCCACTATGTTATTTTGAGTTCTATTATATAGCTCTGTTGCATCTTATACACTGATGACAGGCTGAATAGGAGAAATATATAAATAACGATGTCAATTATTTTAACCATAGTGCTTTTACATCCTCTGCCCTTGTTCTGCTCAGTGCTATTCCATCATGTGAAAGGAGACAGATAGGGCTGGCATTCCTCTCACCTGTRCATCTTAAATGACTAATATCACCACTGTTGAAAACCCTGGCTTTGAACAACACTGTCACCAAATTCATTGTTGTTTTACTACCAAGCCATATTAGATACCACAAAGAACAGATTTTTTCTAAAGGGATTTAAAAAACTACAAACAAGTTAGCAAGAAAGGTAGTACTTGTAACATATTTCATTATAAACAACATTTTCTGCAGATAACCCCCATCTTTTGTATTAACCATCCTGATGGCAGATCTCTGCATTAAAGTTCTGTTTTTTTATGTTCATATTAGCTTTTCCACTTAGGCACTGCACAGTCATTTAAGCAGCTAAACAGCAAAAGGCCAGTAACACAAGTACATTCCCCAGTCGGCACTGTACTCGGGCACTGTTTGCCATTTGCAGTTTGCCAGGAACAAAGCAGGATATTTAGGATAGGAGAATCAATTGTTCACGTGGAGTTCTGAACCAGCTCCTTTCGGATATCTGAAAATGGAGTTCAGGAAATGCTCATCTGGGAATTTTCCCTATGCTACAACTAGAGCAGAAGTGTCTACAAAGCTTTAACAGACTAATAAGTTTAATGCCTTGTGCAACAGCAACATCAAGATAGGTGCATAAGTGTGATACTGCATAGTAAAATATTCACGTGTTCTACATCTTGCATAGATACTGAAAGTCTCTCTCCTAACAAATAATTACTGAAACTACATCTGTACCTCAGCAACCAGATACAATGTTTGCTCATCAGCAGTTATCATTATCCAACTGCTCTCAAAGTCACCAGCACTGCTGAGGTTCTGAAGCTCCCAGCCCACTTCCCCAACACGCCAGCCCACAGAAATTCCCAGCAGCACCGAGAGAAAGGAATTTCATGGCTGTCCCTCAGYCGCAGATCCGACGTGGTACTTACTTGGTAGTCTGTATCTCTTCCTGCATGAGGCGTATGGCCTAGAACATTTTCAAGTTGCAGTCAAGGGCCATGGTGCCTTGTGAACCCCATCACAGCTCTCCACCAGATCCCAGAGCAGCAGCACATGTCCCTGTGTTCCCCACTAATCAGTACCACAAGGCAAGTCAGAGACACTCTTGCTTTGCACTTCTGCTGTTAGTTTTCAGCTTTCCAGAAATAAAGAATTTTTTACTGTTCTTACCATCCTTATGATACAACATGTGGTCAGAATTGTCATATTCACTATGCTGTTGTTTCAACTTAAACCATTTTCAGAGGCCTTTACTAACATTTCCTGTGCCAGTAAATGCTTTTTCWTGTTTAACATTCTGTTGAACTGTAACAGCACAAAATATTTTTATGCATCTTTTTCAAGCACACCAGCTGAGATGAAATCACTTTTCTCTGCCTGTATAGCCAAGACTGGGGTTGAACTTACAGAAGCAGATGAAGCAAGAAAAAAGCCAGGTTTCAGACACGCAAGTCATGCCTTGACAGCAAAGGAATTTCTTGAATGCAACGTCTCCAAATTTAGGCAGTCACTATGCAAAAGGAAACTCTTCTGAAGTACAAAGCCACCAAGAGACCTAGTGGGGGGTAGTGGAGAACASGTCTTCCTGCAACCCATGGAAAGCTGCAAATCTGGAATGCCAACATGCCAGGACTCAGGGGGCCCACATCAACCTCAGCGCCTAAAAAACCCGACATTCAATGCATGCCATCGCTGCAGCTATCAGCAGCTACTCGTTAAGCTCTTTGCTTTTCATTGCAGCAGATACACATCTAGATGTGGGTTAAACATGCACCTGGAAACACAGCACAAGGGGGAAAAACTCAGCCCAAAACCACTGTTGATCTGCTAAATTCTTGTGTTACTTTTTTAGAAAGAGGTGAGCAAAACCAGAACTGCAGCCCTCTGAYCAACAGGTAACTGTCCTGTGCCCTTGGATGGTGTAATTACTGTGGCTAATAATTACTGGATCCGGTTCTTGTAATTCTTTGCATCTCACCCAGGGTCTTGGGTCCCGCTTCCMCAGCGGCAAGCAGGCACCACCACTACTTATTAATTCTAAGATAACAGAATTCTTCTCCAACACACGAGCTCTAGACATGCTCCATTTCTTCTCGCTTTACCAAGTCTATCATTTTGTCAACATCAACCAAAAAGACACAAGAACTTTCCTAACATCCACTTCTGAATAATATCCAGAAAAGGCAGCCAGCCTGACTCATTTCTCCAGTGTGCAAATCATTCATGTATTCTGTGCACTGTGCTAAGCGTACACCAAATTGGGGCCAAACATAGAAATATTTCATTTCTGCATGGGGAAATTAGTTAATTCAACTCCTATCTGCCTTCAGATTTGACCACTAAGAGAAGTGATTTCTCTTTGTGGCATGTGTACACAACCCAAAGAAGGCCAAAAAAAAGAAAAAAAAGAACAAACTGAGCAAACTTATATAATACATACACATCGTTTCATCATAACATCAATTGTTTAATGCTGTAGAGCWGTATTTTAGTAGTTTAGAAAATAAAGCAAGTTACTAAGCTGAAGCTTGAAGGCCTATGTACACAGGACATGGGCACACRGCACACTGCAGTTACCTAACAGAGAATCAGGGCTCAGCATGCCAGAGTCTTCCTTCTCATCAAAACTGGCAGGACATTTAAGTCATCAGTTCAGGACATCTGTGAAACAACTCATCCAAAATCAGACATCTCCAAATACACGGTGCCTCTCAGCACCATTTTGGGATATCAGTTCAATATTAGTGCACATAAAAGCAGTGTCACTTAACGAATTATCAACACAACTGTCTAGCCCTTCCAGTGACTTTGAGATTTCTCATTTGAGTGCAGCTTCTCTCGAGAACGAACCACCCATCGTGACAGTTATTTGCAGAGTACACAAAGTGCTCAATAAATCCCTGTGTCTGGTAACAGAGCAGATCAAAACAGAAGTGAGCAGAAAGCTCCTCTGAAACTCATACCAACTTTTACATGCACACAAGCATATAATATGAGAAGGACTCACCTAGGTATTACCATTTCTGAAGCAGTTTGTGGTTGAAAACATATCCCCAAAGCATCTACAACAGTTTAAGAAATATCAATAACTATACAACMTAAGTAATTCAGAATTAAGCAGACAACAGCAGATTCCTTCCTAATAGGAAACACAGCTAAGAAAAATTGTGATAATTAGGAAAACACATGACAGACATTATAGAAAGTCGTTAGGCATTTCTGCTCTATCTTTGGAACATGTCTCTAGGTGCATGGAAGGAGTTAAACTACGCTGATTGGAGAGGTGGCAGAAATCTGTGACACCTAGACACTAGCAAAGTATTAACCAGCAAAATCACATACACAGCAGATGCTGGCTAATACTGGAGAGAGAGCATCTATCATTCAGATAATCATTAACCTGCTCGTGAAGCATGGAGCCTGAACCATGGAACCAGTCAGAAATTTGGGAGAAGGACCTAAAGATGACATGCAGATACTGGCAAATGACCAAAGAGAAGCAAGAATTTAACTGCCGCTGGCTCCTTTGATAAATGTACTACAGATATATCACACACAGTTTAAGCTGAAGCCTCTATAGAGAGGTTTATCTATTTATTACCAAACCGAAGAGTAGACAAATGTTAGTTTGAAGTTAGGAAACAAAACAACAGAGACATTTAAAATGATTCTGAAGCCATTTYGAAATTTATGAAACATTCACTAGCAAATTCTATTCTTTTGATGATTTTTTAATTTCCATGCATTCTGATGAAGTTTATAGAATCAGTAAAAAGATTATTAATCACTATCAGATTACTATGGGCAAAAGCAATGACCTAATAAAAAGAAACTCAAAATAGACCAAAAATAGCCATTTTACTGAGAGAAATATTTGGCAAGATCAACATTTAGCATGTCTSAAAGAGCTATTTCTTGCCTCTTGTACCATCTTTCTAGAACAGAAACCCTTTACATCCCCTCAAAGGTAAAAGACAAGAGAAGTATTGGAAATGTGAATAAGCCTCAAGGAGAAGCTTGGGAATGTGTTCATCACTGGTATGGGTGACAGTCAGTCCCCAGCTCTTGGTGCACACAGAGTAGCCAGAATGTGCAGTGGCCACCAGCTCGTGCRCACCACAACGCAGGCGCAATCCCTGGCAAATGATTTCGAATCCGCGGCTCAGTTAGGCATTTGCATGACAGCAAAAACACCTGGATAGTTAAAGGGGAATTTTAAGCGCAAGGATAAAAGCTACATAAGTTTCTCAAATGGGCCGACAAATTACTACACCAGATCCCATCTTTTGACCAGTTCTTGCCAGCTGGATTGGTCCTTTTCTCTGCTAACCAGTCACTGTAGTTACCATAATATTTAACTGAAAATCTCTGAAGTCTGCTAAAAAACAGACACATTTAGGGAAGCAGAACCTCTTATTTCCCAGCAGCCACTGCTCTGAGTGCTTCAATGCCACTGACTTACCAAGAAATGTCAGAGAAACCACATCATTTTCCTCAGCTTCAGATATCCACTTAATATTATGGAAAATACTGCCCTGTGCCTAACTTTGYTCATCATTTTGAGATTATATACTCTGTTTAAATGATGACAAAATAGTTATAAAAAGACAATATCCTGGGGAAGAGAAAATTGAAAAAAAGCAGCATGATCTGAGGGAACAGTATAGGTTAATTCAAAATGGTGGGGGAATTAATGATACAGTTGGGAGTGGTAAAAAAATCTACAAGTAATTAATTACTATATTAAACTAWATGTCACTGTGCATTCTTACCAGGTAGGCATAACTCTCCCACAAATGCCTTAAGTAACTCTGATGAACTGACACACCAGGATTGCAATTTAAATGACTAATACAGTCAAGTCTAGCATCCAGGATTGTTAATAAGATTTTTGCAGCTTAATAGCTTTTCTCCCTAAAAGTAGATTTTGCTTAACAAAGTAGTGAAGCTCAAAGGATTCTTCTCTCTGTGTTTTCATGTAACTTCCATGACMGCACCGGAATACCCACCAAGGTAGAGCTGGGAGAGGAGATAATAACCACAGAAGCTGAGCTGGCTTCACAGGCCTCTGAAAGGTTAATTCTTTCAGCAACTCTTTCTCAGCCTGAGTCTGATAGAAGGTCCAACAGCTCTGCTCCAATGCGTGGTGATAAAACAGAAAGGGCATWTTTACACAGAACTAAATTAATCCCTTGCAAAGTACTCAGAAATCCATGAAGTTCTTACAGACCTAACAGATAACAAAGCAGAGTTATCACCTTGACTAAGAATAAATTTTCCTTATGTCTGAGGTTCTTTATAATCATCAAGTACTTAATCAAGCAAATGTTGATCAAAACTCCCGTTGGAAAGGAGCTATGAGTTTGTGACAGCTGGCAAATGAATCTACAAATAATGCATACAGTGACACTGATCCACAGCAAACAAGTGAGACAGATTCTATGCTCAAATACACCCAAGTTTTCAGGTAGACCAATAGAAATTAATTGCAGCTCCACTATGGTCTCCATCCTGTGTCCCAAAAATGAGCTGACACAAACGAGGTCCTGTTTGTGGGGTAAAATGTTCACAGAGCCATCTGTTCTTACTGTAGCAACACTTGAGGCTCTCAAATGGAAAGAAAACATTTCCTAGAAATAAAGGAGAGCTCTCGCCCTGCCTCTCCTTTTGATGCCTATGTCCTTGTGAAAAATTAAACTCTTAGAGACCTAAGAAGGAAGACAATACTGTCATGTTTACAAGAGATTTCAGGGTACAACCCTCCCTAACAATTTCTTTCAAGGTGAACTACCTACCAGGAAAAGGTGCTTTCTCAAGTATAACTTTTTTTTTTTCCTTTCTTTGTTTTGTAGGCTTCTAGCACCCTCTCACAAGAAGGTTCCTTCGTTGATATAGAATTACTCAGCTGCAGGGCATCTCAGCAAGTGGYTCAGCACACAGGTAAGGATGGTGCCGTCCTTGAGAACTAGCACAGCCTGGGGCACTCACCTCCAATATCGCCGTCCCTATTTACAATCGCCTGCTGCAGCCAGAGGACTGACTCAGTTTGCTGTGCAAAGAAAATCTTAAACTTCTGCTAAGGAAGGTTAAATGGTGAGAGGAGAACGTGCAAGTGCTCAAACCTATTACATACACAGCAGTAAGGTGAAAGACAACATAAATATTCAGCAACTACCAACAAACTCTATAGAGTCCCATTTGAAAACCTATTTTTAAACAAGACCAACCAATTACCATACATCGATTAGGCAGCCAGGGTTTACCAACTGATGCTAATCTCCTGGCAAATAAACTTAATCAAGCTCTCATTTCACCTTCCACTTATTTTCTCCATGTCCTTTACTCCTCCAAGCCACATTACCTCCTACATTCCTGTTTTTCTTTTATCTGTCATTTGGTTTTGTTCTACATCTCAGACATGGACCTATGCTGAATACCTTTACAAAGACAGTCCGGGGCATTAGGTGGTGCGCTTTGCAAAATCTATCTGCCAATATGAATAGGTACTGTGAAAACTGCTTTCTCACCAAATGCCTCCATTTGCATCCACCTGAGAAACACAGGATCCACCCACACTAAATCAGAAATAACCGTAAGTAATTCATTACATGAGTTGCTGCTACTTGATTGGAAATTTCCTTGGACTACAAGTTTGTTGGAGAAAGAAGAAAACAGGCCCCAGCCTTGTGAAGGAGGACTATGGAAAAATAAAGAGGAAACAAAAGCTACAGCAAAAGAACAAACATGAYTGATGAAGGAAGGTTTCAAAACTACCTTCAAGCAAGAAGCAAAGTGGCTTGAGAGAAATGTTCTCTCAAAAAAAGGCAAACCTCACCTCAGCCAAAAGCAGAGGAGACAATGGCCTGCATGGCTACATCCGAACAAGACGCAACACGCCCAAGAATACTACTGACTTCAGATCATTTCTCATCTCCTACACTTTATCTGTGCGTAAACATGACTGTGTACTCAGTACCTGCACACAGGGTCTGGCCGCCTTTTTGTGTGTGTTCAACTGTGTTGACCTCAGATGTCTGAGGTTGTAACCCGTACACTGGAAGGTCATCACCTCTGAAGAGAACCCACAGAAAGCTGCTATTGTGTTCAATCAGGCTCTCAGGCATAAGATCAAATTAGGAGCCAAGATAATACACTGCAAGTTGCAACTCAGAGGRGTTACTGAATGAGCATATATCTCTACATATTTACACACATATCATAGAAGGGGGGAAGGAAGGGAAGTAGTGGCGGTGCCTGAGCTCCTTGTTTTGGCTGCAGAGATTAAAGCAGCTGAGATTCCACCAGTAGCAAACACAGCCATAAAGGTGACTCCAGATGAACACTCAGCAAGTAGCTACAGGCTGATATGAACAGCCAATAGACACAGAACCATGGGCTTTGCCTGTAACACAGGCACCTTCTAAAACCAATCATCTGTGATACTCAGTACTTCCATTTTGATTCCCATGCTCATTGCACTAGCAAGATGAAATGCTGAGGATGCTCAGGAAGCAGCTGCATGTTTTGAGGACAAAGGTCAAGAATTTAAAAAAAACTCTTAGTTGTACAGATTGATAGGCAGCCACCTCACATTCGTATTACTTCAACAGCACCATTTCACAGTGAGTTCCTTTTAGTTATGCTACTTTGCACAATTCTTCCCATTCTCACACACAAACACAAACCCAACAACTCCAGTAATATGTGGATTAGCTTGATACATCCTTTATCACACATTTTGCCTTAACTACAAAAGCTCTAACACTGCAAATCAAATACCAGCCTGCATCCCCAAATGCTAAGGTCAAGTTAGCCTTATCAAACTCCATTTAGCAAGCAAATAATCGCTTCTTGCATTAGGGGCAGCTCATGAGCTGTCTTAAAATGCAGTGCCACAAAGAGCTCGTTACAGGAATCCTGCATCAAGGAGCTGTTGTGTCCWTTTGGCAAACTGTGACTCGCACACAGTTGGGTTCACCTGAAGTACTGAAAAGGAGATTACTACAAAACAATGTATCTGTAGAGAAGTGTTTTTAAAGCCATATTGCCTTTGCACCTCTCCACCACACCAGAGAGGCCTGTTATTTCTGTTGGCTTATCCAAGGGAAGAAACTCCCTGCTGTTGCTTGCAGGGAGTTACAGCCATGGGCTGCTAACTTCATTTTCTCCCTCCTACTACTTCCCTCCACCACCACCAAGGGCTTTACCAAACCCTCTGAACACCACTAGRAGCCCCAAACATACCACGCAAACCAGCTCCCCCTGAGCCTCCCTCCTGGCACRTCTAGTTATGTGCTTCTTACAGAGGGCGTGACTATTTCCCAGCTGGGAACAGGGAACGAACCTCAAGTACGTGAGCAGAATACTGCTTAAAATGTGCTAACTCTGAGCCATGCCTTGCAGCAGCAGAATTGAGGTCATGAGCAACTTCACTGAAACCTGCAGGCSTTCTAACTTCTGGCCTTGACATCCACAGAATTCACCTGTTGCTTCTTGCAGCACACTGGCTTCCTCCCAGTTTACCTCTCTCCCTTCCCTGCAAGAAGGGAGGGAGACACACGGTCAAGAGACACAAAAGGATATCAGCAGCCAGCTCAAACCCTTGCAAACAACAGCTCTGCCCTTGGAAGCAGTTAAAGCAAAATGACAGCTTATCTCTTTCCCAGCACAGGTATCTGATTAGCTAGATGAACACTACTCACAGAAACTCCTGTCTGCACACAAACAAATCCAAGAGTGAAATCGCAACTGTTGCTTTAGGAGAGGAGCTATCGAGCTCCCTATACTCTGTTGCCAGGGCATCACACTCTCACTGGTGATGACATCACTTTCCATGTCAGGCTCAGAATACAACATTCTCATATTTAATTTCTTTTTAAAGGTATTACCATTCCCTTGGATAAGGCAAAGAGGCCTGGAATGGCTAAAGAGACTCCTCAGGGCTCTGAAGTGGACGCTTCCCTCTCCAAGCCTTTATTTATGCACCCAAGAGCAAAGGTTTTCTGGCATGTGCATGGAAGGGAAAAARCAATTCCATTGCTGTGCTAGCAATACACAACCTCATTAGAGAGGACTAAATAACTAAACCTATCCAAAAAACAGGGAAAATGATCAAGTTYATTCCATTTGTTCCACAAGCTCTTCAGAGCAAACCCAGTTTCTTTGTGGTMACCCAGTGGGGTGAAGCGGTTCCAAACAGCTCCGTTCCAAGGGGGCTTAATTTATTTGGGGGACAAAAAACAGATCTGAGAAATAAATTACAATACACCATATTGAGATTTTTTTTTTTTTTTTTTAGGAGAACAAAATACTGTCTATACTGCTTAAAGCAGTGTCTGCAATATCAACAATATTACAAAGCTTCCCCTGAACCCAAAAAAWCTTAGTACAAGGAGCAGCAAGTCAAAGAAAAACACAGGATTTGCAGCAGCCAACCACTGTGAAAAAGCAAATCCTTTTGAGGGCAACCAGTGACCGCACGGGAATTGCCTCCAGGCTGCATGCAGGGAAGGCGAGGAAGAACACATCCACATCCCGAAAGGCAGCCTCACATTCTCTAGCCTGGACAAGAACACAGAAACATTACTTGGAAACAAACAAGTCATACGTTATTTGTGTACCCAAATCCAGCTGTTCTACATTCAATACCTGAACTCATCTTTTAAGGTGAAGCAATAGCTGACACTGATCACCGACTCGACAAAGCAAGCTAGCAATCATAAAGCCCCCTTTGGCAGGAATACAGGAGAAATTGCTATGTCTCTGAGACAAGTTCTGGGAGCCAGTAACTTATTTGTTCACTACTGAAGGCCAAAACCTGGAAGCTGTGTAACATTAGAAATTTATTAGAGAGAGACTTTTGTCACAACATAATTAAACTATTAAAATTTCAAGTGAAAAAATATTTGGAAACAGTAACTAATGAATAGCCAATATATCACCATCCTGTATACCAGATGATGATATCACCATCCTGTATACCAGATGATGATATCTGGACAGGTTACCCAAGTGAGATGCTCTCCTTTCTACACCACGCACGCTGAACACAGCACTGCGTGCATCTGGAATACAGTTTCCCCAGGGACACCCCCACAAGTTGGCCATACTGAGAAAAGAAGAAAGCTGCCATATGGATTCACAGGACTAGCAAATGACGAGTCCTTTATGTACTCTGGTACACAGTCTTGATAGTCTTTTCCATCATGAAACCTGTAAAAGGTCAAAGATAAAATCAGAAATACTTAATTAAAAATTCTCCACGAATCTTTTAGCATTTGCAAAGTCTTGGAAAATAAAGGGCTACTTCAGCTCCTGATCGAAGGAAGGTAGATCAGCACTCCATCAGCAGCTGTGAGATTACAGAGACAGGCCGAGTTTTACCCTACTGAATTAGCCAAGACTTTCTACTGGTTTATCACAGGAACAGAATTTTACTGACATGCTGAGTTTAGAAGGGCACATGATTGTTTTTAGCATGAAAAAGCTGCCCTCTCAATAGATTTTCGATAGTCATGGAGCTATTCTTATCCTAAATCCTCTGCTGAACCTAAGAGGTCAACACACAACTCACACTGCGAGCGTGTGTTTATTTTCATTATGTATATAAATCTGTACTTGAAATTCAAASTGAAAATTAAACATATTGTTTACAAAAAATAGAAACCAAAATTACCAACCAACAAGAAAAACCCAAAATAAACCCAAAGAACAAGCTTCTCGCCTCCACTSAACAAAGGAATGCATACAAATCTTTGCAACTTCCTTAAAGAAAGGGTCTCAGCAGTTCTCAGGGTCTCCCTGAGCCTGGTAAAAGCTTGCTGCTTAAAATGGAAGGATTTCAAGTAACTCACTGGGAACCTCATTCCCAGTCTGAGCTTCGAGATCCASTTTCAACCGGAAGGCTGACGCAACCGAATCAACAGCTGTG